GGAGCCCGATGCGGGACTCGATCCCGGGACTCCAGGATCATGACCTGAGCCGAAGGCAGTCGCTTAACCAACTGAGCCACCCAGGCACCCCTGCCCATGGCTTCTTTAGACGTCCAGACTTTGGGGGATTTCCTAGTAATCTCTTGTACCGATTTCTACCATGATCCCATTGTGGTTGGAGAACACACACTTAAGAATTTGAATTTCAGTCCTTTGACATTTTTGAGACTTACTTTGTGGCCCAGCATATGGTTTGCTCTGATGGATGCTCAGTGGGCTGTGTATGGTTAGATCGGGTTTACTAACTGCGATTTTATGTGTTCTTGCTGTTTTTTTAATCTTGTTTATCAGTTATGGGAAAGATATGACAAGTTCACTGTAATTGTAGATTTGTTTATTTCTCCTTTTAGGTGTGTCAGTCTTTGCTTTTTATCTTGAAGCTGTGTTATTAGGAGCATACAGTTTTAGGATGGTTATGTCTTGTTAAACTGACCCTTTTCCCTGTGAAATGTCTCTTTTTATCTTTGGAAATGCTTCTGCCCTTAAAGTTGGCCTTGTCTGATATAGTGTGACTAACCTGGCTTTGTTTTGGATTTATATTTACACAGTACCGGTTTTTTGTCTTTTCTTTTATGATCTTTCTATGCCTTTATATTTCCAGTGTGCTTTAGATAACAGCATACGGTTGGCTTTTGTTTTGTTTTGTTTTTATACAGTTTGTTAATAGGAGTATTTAAGACTCTTTAGAATGAATGTAATTACTGATTTTGGGGGGATTAAAGCTTCTGTCTTACTCTGTTTTTTACTTGTCCCATCTGTTCTTTTTTGTTTGTTTCTTTCTTGCTGACTTTTGGATAAATCAAACATTTTAAGTATTCATTTTTTATTTCTCTGTTAGCTGGAGTTGCACATTTCTGTTCTAATGGTTATATAAGGCAGTTTAATATGGATCCTTGGTTTATTAGAGTTGACTATAAATTGTTTTTACCACTTCACAGAGAAGGCAAGTATCCCATGATATTTTGCCTTCGTTTACCCTCCTTTGGCCTTTGGTGCTATTGTTTCTATGTATTTTAATTTTATGTATAAAACATTGTGAGTCGTTATTATTGTTTTAAATTGCCAACATTTATTTATATTGATCCTTTGCAGCCTCTTGGTTTTCTGTCACTTGGTCCTGTCTTCTGGTGTGCTTGGTAGTTTGTGGCCATTGTGTTTGAGAAATGGTAGAGGTTCTGGATGATGCTCTCTTCCAGCAGACAGAGGGTGGGCAGAAGGCCTGTGTTCGGTTAAGGGGAGTCTGTTCCTGGTTTGCCTCACTCCTAGGGCACAGCCCTTTCAGGGTCTTGGCTAAACGCCCTTGCCCTCACATTGCTAAATTCTCTGCTTAGCTTTGATTGGCTTGGCGGCTGCTCTGTGTGCCTCTCTGCATAAGCTTGGCATGTACCTTAGGGGAGAATTACACTCAGAATGTGGGTGCCCTTCTCTGAGAATGGTGGCTGCCCGAGTTCTGGCTGCTGGAGAGCCATCACCCCCTCACCCCTCACCCCTGGCACCTGCCCGAGTGTCATGCAAGCTCCAGGCTGCCGTTTTCTTGCCCGGTGCTCAGCACCACAGATCAGGAGGAGCCTGACTTTGTGGGGCCTCTGTGCTTACCTCCTTCCTCCGAGGTCTCACCAGCAGTCTGGGTGGCCAAGGTTGTTTGCCAGTGTCTTCAGTTGGGCAATTTTAGTGAGTTTTGGGAACTCCTGATGGCAGGAGGAAATTAACCAGCCCACTGCCCAAATGTTTTTCTGTTTGTCAAGTCCCAGAGTTTTAGTCCCTCGGACTCTTTTAGGGGAAAAAAAGTCATTGTTAGAGGGGCCCTTCCTTGGGGCACCTGGGTGGCTCAGTTGTTAAGCATCTGCCTTCGGCTCAGGTCATTATCCCGGGGTCCTGGGATCGAGTCCCGCATCGGGCTCCTTGCTCAGCACGGAGCCTGTTTCTCCCTCTGCCTGCCACTCCCCCTGCTTGTGCTCTCTCTCTCTCTGACAAATAAATAAAATAAAAAATCTTTTTTTTTTTTTTTTTAGATTTTATTTATTTGAGAGAGACAGAGATAGTGAGAGAGAGAGCACAAGTGGGGAGGAGAGGGAGAAGCAGGCTCCCCACAGAGCAGGGAGCCCAATGTGGGACTCGATCCCAGGACCCTGGGATCATGACCTGAGCCGAAGGCAGATGCTTAACCGACTGAGCCACCCAGACGCCCAATAAAATAAAAAATCTTAAAAAAAAAAAAGAAAAGGGCCCTTCCTCTTCAGTATTATTTTTAAACATTCTTTCTTCAGCTCCAGTGCTTTCATGACTTCGTTTTTTCATTTAAATCTTTGATCATCTGTGTTTTATTTCGGGGTAAGAAACAAAGCAGACTCCATAGCTGGCAGCTCGCTGGGGCTGTCCCTGCTGTGCAGGGTCACCACTCCCACGTGTCAGATCTTGCACAGACTTGGGCCCAGTTTGGGACTCGCTCCCTTGTGCCACCAGCCACGCTGTAGCTGTGGTAGCGGCCCCCGCTCCGTGGCGCGCTGCTCTGGAAACTCTCTTATTTTATTTTTTTTTAAAGATTTTTATTTATTTATTTAACAGAGATAGAGAGAGAACACAAGTAGGCAGAGCGGCAGACAGAGGGAGAGGGAGAAGCAGGCTTCCCGCGGAGCAGGGAGCCCGATGCGGGGCTCGATCCCAGGACTCCAGGATCACGACCTGAGCTGAAGGCAGCCGCTTAACCAACTGAGCCACTCAGGCGCCCCTGGAAACTCTCTTATTTTAATTTGGATCCACCTTCTTTTTAAGTTTGTTGGTTTATTTTTAGTAATCCCCACATCCAGGGTGGGGCGGGAACTCACGACCCTGAGATCAAGAGTTGTGCGCTTCCTGACTGAGCCAGCGGGTGCTCGGCTTGGGAAACATTTTAATTCTGATCCCTCCTCCTCACTTCTATTGATGACGTTTCTGGATATGCTCACCTTTTCGTCTTCCATGTGAATGTTGGAATTAGCCGATCTGACTCATGAAACTAAGTCCAGCTTTATGTTTTTTCGGTCTCATCGGAATTCTTTGAAGCTGTAGGTTAATTTAGAAGGTGTTGTCTGTGCGCTCTGGCGAATCCGTGGTGTGTGCTGAGCAGCTTTACGTGCAGTCAGGGTGTGGGGTGCAGCTGCGCCTCCAGGCCGCCGGATGCCCGCGGGGCCCGCAGCGTGCGGGGCCAGCTCGCCGTCTCCTGGTGCAGCCGCGAGAGCTCCTGCTGTAACCGCTGAGCCTGGTGTGGCTGTGGCTTTGCGCGTGGGAGCGAACTGCACACTCACACACCTCCGCAGCCACTACGTGAACGCACGTGGAATTGTGTTGAAGAAGCGTCCGTCCGTGCCTGCGTTACCGTGGTTTCTAAATCCAGAAAGCGCACTGACGTGCATTAGCCATTTGTGAGGACAGTAAAGGTTCTCTCTCTGACCTAGTGCCCTGATGACTTGTGTATCACAAGTTAGTTCTGGAGCGGACCGTCTGACCGTGGCAAACTGTTCGTACGTACTGCTGAGCTTTATCTCCGAACATGCAGCTTTAGTGTTTTGAGGAAAATGGATCTTCCAAGGGACAAACTTGGCAATGTGGCTGGAGTTTGGTGCGCACAGACCTTGGGTCTGGAGGGCACCTGCTTGATTCCTTTCTCCCTTCTGACCCGGGAGCTCTGGCTGCTTCTCCCGCGGAGGGTGTGGACCCGGCGTCAGGCCCGGGGTCCGCTCTCCCCGGCCTGCCTGATGGCTGGATACAGGCCTAGAGAAGAGCTGGACAGGGGTGCGTGGGTGATGGACGTGTCAGGACTGGGCTGCAGGAAGTCTCAAAAGGAGTGTCCTGAGAAGCATCGTCGTAGGAGGTGCAAGGACTATGGACACACAATGCGCCCTTAGTGAATCGAAAAGGAACTTTCTCTGCCATCATGAGTTCATTCTTGATTTTGAGAATCTGAGAAGTTGGAGGATCTCTCCAGTCTGGACGTGGGTGGAGGTGTTGAGAATTGACGCGCTGCGGCCTGGAAGCCAGCAGGGGGAGCAGGAGCTGCTGGAGGGGCCCCGAGGAGAGAGCAGGGGGCTGCCCTGGTCACAGGCCGGCGCTGTGCTCCTGGAAGACCATAAGTCAGTGAATACGTGACACTGAGACTTGGAGACAGCGAGCCACCCACGGGTCGCTGTCTGACCTCCACCAGAGCACGGCTCCCAGGCCTTCCAGATGGGATCTGTGGGCTGCGGGCGGGCTGCACACCGACCTGGAGACCAGACTCGGGGTGTGTAGCTGCATGGCGGCCGGAACCCCTGCCTCCAGGTGTGTTTCATCAGGAGGAGCAGAATTTGAACCTGTGTGTTGTTCAGACAGGCTTACGTGTAAGCAGTGAAAGTGAATGCTTCCTCCCCCCATAGGTGCTTTTTTGTTTTTTTTTCTTTCTTTCTCTTTTTTTATTTGAGAGAGAGAATGAGAGAGAGAGAGCACATGAGAGGGGGGAGGGTCCGAGGGAGAAGCAGACTCCCCCCCCTGAGCAGGGAGCCCGATGCGGGGCTCGATCCTGGGACTCCAGGATCATGACCTGAGCCGAAGGCAGTCGCTTAACCAACTGAGCCACCCAGGCGCCCCTTGCTTTTTTGTTTTTGAGTCGGGGACCTCAACAGATCTGGAGGCTACAGGTCATGGCTTGAGGGGTGCTCTGGGACACCATGGCATGTGGGGCCCCAAGGCCAAGCCCCTGGTTTTGCCAAGCTTGGGCTAAGGGTCCAAGTTAGGAGAGAAACTTCTGTTGTCACTTCTCAGCAAGGTTGCTTCTGCTGTTGGTTGGGGAAATACAAAATGCAAGGGATTTAAAGTGTCCTTCTCAGGGCGCCTGGGTGGCTCAGTCAGTTATGTGTCTGCCTTCCGCTCAGGTCATGATCCCAGGGTCCTGGGATCGAGCCCTGCATCGGGCTCCCTGCTCAGCGGGGAGTCTGCTTCTCCCTCTCCCACCCCCCCTGCTTGTGCTCTCTCTCTCTCTTTCACTCACTCATTCTCTCTCTCAAATAAATAAAATCTTTTTTTTTTTTTTAAAGATTTTTTATTTATTTGATAGAGAGAGACACAGCGAGAGAGGGAACACAAGCAGGGGGAGTGGGAGAGGGAGAAGCAGGCCTCCCACAGAGCGAGGAGCCCGATGCGGGGCTCGATCCCAGGACTCTGAGATCATGACCTGAGCCGAAGGCAGACGCTTAACGACTGAGCCACCCAGGTGCCCCTCAAATAAATAAAATCTTTAAAAAATAAAGATTTGGGCACCTGGGTGGCTCAGTCGGTTAAGCGTCTGCCTTCGGCTCAGGTCATGGTCCCAGGGTCCTGGGATCGAGCCCCGCATCGGGCTCCCTGCTCAGTGGGGAGTCTGCTTCCCCCTCTCCCTTTGCCCCTCCCCCCTGCTCGTGCTGTCCCTCTCCCTGTCTCTCTCTCAAATGAATAAATAAAAAATCTTAAAAATAAAAAAATGAAGCGTCCTTCTCTTTTAACTTTCAAAAATGACCTCGGTCACTTCTGGACACCATCATTGCCCCACGAATCTTACCTTCCTGGGAAGAAGATGTCATACACTAATGCTGAGCCTACTCACATTTTTAGTAGGAGAATACTTGGGGGAGGGACGTGGTCACTGTCAGGAGCTCTCGATCCCGAGCTGTGTATTGTGGAGTCTGCGGATGCTGCTTTGGCGTCCCAAATCTGTGCGCGAACCTTGGGTAGCCCTTTTGCACCTGGCCATGGCAGGCGGGTTTGGGGGGGGTCACCGAGAGCCTCCAGGAGTCCACAGGCCCCCTGACCCATGGCCGACCTCGGAGCTCGGCCTGCCCTTGGCGTCTGTGAGCTCCGGAGCAGTGCCGTGTTGCGGAGCGGCGGCGCAGAAATGGACTTGTCCTGGAGGCCTTCGCTGGCTGGCCTGGCCCGCCTCTGTGAGTGCAGGCCGTTCTCCAGCCGTGTTGGACCCAGGAATGGCTCACTGGTTTTTTTAAAGTCAACATGCCTTTGAGAAAAAGGTTTGAATCCTGGCTGTGAGACTGCAGAGAGGTGAGCGGCGGGGTCTCCCTGGCTCTTGGAGCAGGTCGCCTCGCGGGCCGCTCTCCCGCAGACTCCGCAGGACCAGGAGTCACTGCTCCCTGGGGAGGGCCTGGCGGGCCGGGTGCAGGCAGGGCAGCGATCCGCACCAGTGACAGCACGTTGGTCCAGCGTGTGCGTGTCTTCAGGCAGGCGCTGCAGGAGACTGCGTTGCGTGACGCAGGGCTGGCCGCCTGAACTGCTGAGGGCTGCATGTGTGACCAGCCTGGCTCCCTCAGCAGGGATGGGGCCGGGGACGAGGAGCCTCGGCCGTCAGCGGCGCGTCCAGCACGCTCACTGGGCAGCCCCGACGGGCACCCCCCGCTGATGGGGGCTGAGGAGCCATCTCCTCCGTGGCTTTCTCCCCGTCTGTGCCAGCGGCTCTGGGCGTGTCCCGCTCAGTGGGTGACGTGGGAGGCAGACCGACTGCACACTCAGCCCTCTGCCCGGCTGTTGGGCGAGGCGTGGGATGCCGAGTGCCCCCTTAGGGTCGGGCAGCTGCCCTGAGATCCTTGCTCTTCTGGCCAGAGCCATCAGGGAGCCTGACCTCTGCCGCCACAGGTGCAGGTGGGTCTGGCCCCTGCTCTCCAGGAGGCCTGGTCGGTGGGCTCGGGGTCTGCTCTCTGCAGGCTGCCCTCACGCTGCCTCTAGCCCGCCCCTCGCCTGCCCCTTCCTCCATGGCCAGCCCGGCTCTAGCAGGTTTGGCTGATGATTTGGTCACGTTCACCAGTGAGGGGCCACCATCTCCTAGTGGCCAACATGAGTGGCGGTCAAGGCCAGCAGGACCACGGCCTGAGTGCCCTGTGTTCCCCAGCCCCTCCTGCTGTGCACTGTGCCCACATACCCCCTCCTCCCCTGAGCAGGGCAGGGGTGCGGCAACTGCCTGACCCCTTTTGCCCTTGGGTCTTTGTCTCGTCCAGGTGGTGCTCTGGGTTGGCCTGGGCATCCTGGTGGTCAGCACACACACTACCCTGTCTGTGAGTGAGGAGGCCCCTGTGGCTGGCCGGCTTGAAGAGGCCGAGGGCATCATAAAGGCAGAGGCGGCTCGGCTCCCAGGTACGCAACTTCCAGGTATGCACATGGCCCCCCAGCCCTGTAGCCTTCTCGGGGCGCCCCGCAGTGTCACCTTGGGTGTGGTGTGCAAGTGGTAATTCCAGGCTGTCTCACCTGCCCCAGTCCTGTTGGGTGGGGGAGTAGGGCAGGGGGCCTCCAGGGGCCAGGTAAGCCGCCTGCCTGTGGGGGACAGCAGGACGGAGAGCTCAGTGCCCGCTGTTCGGTGCGCTGGCAGGGAAGCAAGTGTGTGGGGGGGAGTTGTCATTTTTGCTTGCTCTGATTTGGGGATGAGGGTTCAGGCTGGGTTTTGCTTGGACAAGGTCAGCGACGCCCTGTGGCTTTGTTCGATGTCCCCCCTTGCTGTTGGCCCCCCAGCCCGTGGGGAGGGGACGACCCACGCAGCCTTCTGCAGCTACATGCCTGCCTCGGAGGGCCTGCTGCAGTGTGGCTCTGTGACCCCATCCATGGCCATGCCCATCGGGGTGCAGGGTGGTTCTGAGCGTGGCTTTCTGGGCTATAGAAGGGGCTCCATCGTATCCAGAGTTGGTTGGGAGAGAAGAGTTTTCTTGGAGTCCCTGGCCATCCCAGGCATAGATGGGAGGGGTTAAGGAGGGCTTCCTCCATGCTGGCCCTGCACCCCCTAGCAGCTCCGAGTGGCATCAGGCTTGGGTACTGGAAGGGGGGGCTGTGCTTCATTCTGGGGGCTTCTGCTCTGACGATGGTTGGGTTTTAGGCATTCACACTAATAGTGTGTCCATGCGTGTCTGAATCCGCCCCCCTGCAAGTAGACCCCCACTTGGATTGAGATTTGCCAGACTGCCTGCCCGGCATGCCCTTCTGGGGGAGGCCCCTTGGGGGGAGCAGTGCTGTCCGCCTGTGAGTTTCAGGTGCCTTTTGACGGTGAAGGCTGAGTGCCTGCCCCAGGGGGGAGCCCCGGTCTCCCCGCCTACCATGATTGACAAAAGAAAAGGTCCCAAAAGTCTGGCAAGAGAGTTGAACATGCCCTGGGTCCTTGTTGCCCGGGCCTGCCGGCAGTGGAAAGCACGTGGCCCTTAGATTTGTTACCGTCTCTGTCCCTGGGCTTGGAAAGCCTGGCGTCCGTGCCCCCCACAACCTCCCCTGTGGGAGAACAGTCTCTCCTGGGGCTTGGAGGAGCGGGCCATGCTCTCTTTTGCCTTCTTGGGATGACAAGGGCTGGCAGAAAGATTCCCCTTTTGGGGTCCCTGGAGAGAGGGCCCCGGGAAATGGCAGGGTTCCCCAGAGAAACAAGTCAGAGGGGTCAGAAGCCGCCTGAGTGTCCCACGCTGGGCTCGGCAGTTTGGATGGAGAAAGTCCACTTGAAGAGGGAAGCGGGTGGCCTGCACCTGCCCCTCTGACGGCCCTGCTGGGTCCCCCACCGTCAGGCGCCTTGGCCTTGTGTGCCTGGACTCGGGCACCGGTGACCCCCTCCCAGCTGGCTGTGGATTTTCTGGCAGTAGTCAGCACCGGGCTGCCTGTCCCCATGTCACTGCGCAGCCGTGCTCCACGGCCTGTGCCGACAGCTGCATCCTGTGGTGGAGGCGGGCTGTGGGCTCACCTGGAGCCCGCCGAGGCCACATCTGGTTTCCATTGCTTCCATGAGCCTGTAACAAAACACATGGCCCCCTCAGAACCACATGCCGTTTGTTTTTAGCGCGTTCTCCGTTTTTCTCGCCCCTGGCCTCCCCCGTAATTGATGGTTGCCTCGTTGAAGCAGAGCTGGGACTGGGGGGGCCCGCACCGTGTGCGCGCCTTGTCGGACTTCTGCCCGTCAGCCTGGAGTGGGGTTTTATTGGTCTCTTTGATGTCGCAGAGGCCAGAACGGTGCTGGCTTTCCTTAGAGCCCCAAGCTGGCCCGGGGACAGATGATGGCAGTCCTGCCCTGCTGGGGACACGTGGGACTGGGACCCGTGGCCCTGCACTCTTGGAGAGCGGAGCCCGGGATGCACACTGGTGTGGCGAGCAGCAAATGTGGAGGAAAGAGGTTGCTGGGCCCTGCGAGGCAATTGTCTGTTAAAAAGGCTAATTAGGCCATTTATCTCCTATCTGATAGCGCCCCAGCGGGTCTGGCAGGTCCGGTCGGATTCTGTAACACGTATGGCTCCCTCTCCTCCTTCCCCTCCCAGCATCCCCACCCCATGTCCCCACCCCCTGGTGCGCGCCCCCCAACTGCCACCCTGCAGGGGCGCCGCTGCTGCTCTGTGGGGAGAAACACCAAGGGCCAGGACGGGGGCTCTGGGTGTCAGGCCGGGCAGTAGGCTAGAGGCTTGGGGGCAGCACGGCCGTGACTGTGGACGCAGGTGGCAGGGGCTGACCACAGGCCCGCGTGGGAGCTCGCCACAGGGCGGGGATCTCTCCCCGGGGACTCAGCCCTTGGGCGGGAGTGCATGCACTCTCTGCAACAGATGCCAGGGTGTGAGTGAGGGACTCCTGGCTCCACGTGCATCTGCTCGCTCTCCTCGGCTGGGGCAGCTAGGTCCCACTGCAGCCCTCCCGATCCCTGCTGAGAGGGGCCTTCATCGGCCACCATGCTATGGCAACTGTGCCCGCTGCGCCCGCTGCCCGCGTGCCACTTGTGCCCTCCGGGGTGACTCTGCCAGCCCAGCCGCCCTGCATCCGGAGGGGCCCCTGGGGAGCGGCTCACCCACCTCCACCCGCTGCCTGTGGGTAGACCGGCCTGCTCTAGGGGACCGTGAGAGTGAGGCTCGGGCCACCGTGGCCTCTTGATCGGGACGCTCGGGTCCGAGGAGCCATGGCGACTCCTGCACGCTTGGAAAGATGAGAGAATGCAGAGGTCAAGACTGCCCCTGCCAGCCACGCCAAGAAGAGTGGGTTTCAGAAATCAGCGCTCCCCAACCCACTCTCTCAGCCACCTCGAGGGGCGCCGGAAACCGGTCGTCAGGAAAGTCACCTAAACCCAGGGCCTGGCTCTCGGCTCTTCTTGCCTTACGAGTGCGTGGCCCTGGGGTCCTGAATGTCTCCTGAATCGGGGTCTCCTCCGGGTGACAGGGACTCCATCTGTGGGCTCAGGTGTGATTGGAGCAGTCCCTTTGTTTTGGTGCTTGCTCTCTGAGGTGATTGCCTTCCATCTTAACTGACCCCTGGGTCCCCAGAGAGAGGCTGGTCAATGCCGGCCACCAGCAGCAGTCACCCCCGGCCCAGGTCCTCGAGTGCAGACTTCCTTGGTGCCACGGGCAGGCCTGCCCTAGAGGTTGTGCAACCCCCCCCACTGCTTCCCCGATTCCAGAGACAGCCCAGAGCGCAGTTTCTGTCCATTGGCCTGTCTCGGGGGGCGCCCAGCCTGAAGCACCGTCAGGAGGACAAGCAGGTCCCTTGTCACCATGTGGCGCAGTTCTGCTGAAAGCCAGGCTGCCCCGGGCAGTGTGGGGTCTATCACCGCCTGGCAGAACGAGGCACAGACACGGGATTGTCCTGGGTCTGTCCCGGGTCATCAGTGATTGCTGGGACCCAGCGACGACCCTGAGGGCGAGTGAGGTGGCCGTTGACTGCTGGGGACGCTGAGGTGCCCGTCCGCTCACGGGGCCGTGTGCTGTGTGTGCAAGCGTGGGCCGCTCTTGAGTCACTCGGTCTGGGGGTTGAAGTTTGTCTCGCTGCGCCAGGAGGCATCGCTGGCTAACTGTCCGCTGGGGAGAGCCCGGCTCCAGCTGAGGGCGTGTAGGTCCTTGCCGTGGACAGTGAGGCTGGAGGCCAGGGCCAGCGGCTGCAGGGGTGCAGGAGTCCCAAGGGGCCTCGGCCTTGCTGTGCAGCCGGGTGTCCCTGCAGCAGTGTCCGAGGGCCCTAGCAGCGGACTCTGTGCTGTCGCTGTTCCCCGGCGTCCGGCTGCCCGCACGGGGCTCCCCTCAGCCCAGCCCACCAGGTCACCCCTGCTCACCCCCGACTTGCCTTGGTCCCTGCTGAGACAGGACCATGCGCAGGTGACTTGGTCCCATGATAGCTCGGCGGTTTTTTTTGTTTTCTTGTGTTTTTCCTTCCCCTTCTGGCCCTTTTTTCTTTTCTTTTCTTTTTAAAGATTTTATTTATTTGGGAGAGAGCACACACAAGCAGGGGGAACGGCAGGGAGAGGGAGAAGCAGGCTCCCCATTGAGCAGGGAGCCCGATGTGGGACTCGATCCCAGGACCCTGGGATCATGACCTGAGCCAAAAGCAGACGCTTAACTGACTGAGCCACCCAGGCACCCCTTCTGACCCTTTTTCTTAACTTTGTGATCCACTGGACAGACACCTTGATTTAGGGTGATTCCTATTTGAGCACGGGGCCTCTGGGAAGGGGTTAATTGTGTGATGGAGACCAGGACATTTTCACCTGCTCGGGTGACGCTCACACGCTTACTGTTATCAGCCACTTGGTTCAACTGTAGAGTCCAGAGTCTGCTTCCTGCTGGCTCGCCCCCGCCACCTGGCAGGGCCGCATCCCTGCACCGGTCTGGTGAGGGTGCTGTCCCCAGCTGCCGCCTGGCAGCCACATGAGTGAGGGCACCGCCCCGGGCTTGCAGGTCCAGTCGACCTGGGTAATTTCCTCTCCTTCGGGGCCAGCAGCACTGCTGCCCACGGAGGACCTCGGTCTCCCCTTCTCTGGGCAGCTCGTGTCCAGGGGAATAGAAGGTGCTTCCGACCTCTGGGGTAAAATGACGGTTTTTTAAAGTTTCTCGTCCCAGGTTGTTTAGTTTCTGCCACATTTGCCAACTTTTTAATGGAACAGTTTCCTAACAGGCGGGGGCGGGGGAGGCGCCGCTTCGCAGGCTCTGCGTGTGGCTCTCGTTTGGCCGCCGGCGGTAAGGTGCCCACAGCATCACAGGTCGCTTTTCCCCCAGCATTCTCCTCGAGCACCTCTCAGCGCCACCCCCATCCCGGCCTGTAGCAGGGGGTTGAGTTGTGGCAGGTGGTTGTCCTGGAGAAGGGGGAGCCCTGGGCAGATGCGGCCCTGCTGCAGCCCCCATCCTGCAGCAAACTGCGGGTTTGTGCCGCCATCTGGTGGTGACGGCCAGTATTGTGCGGAGCCTTGCTCCTCTGCACCCAGTTAGGCGTAAATTGCATTTTGACGTATTTTTGTTAAGAATACGCATGAAAAATGACAGTTTTCGGTGCTACTTAGCTGCTAATGGTTGAACAGGAAAAAAATAACTGCTTAGGCTCTGCCATTCGACTAGGAAATGTGATTACAATCTAGGGAAAACCGCCCAGTCCCCGTGCTGACGGGCGGTGTAGCCATGTGGAAACACTGCTCAATTAGCTGTGTCGTGCTTGCAGGCCAGAATCCAATTGTGGACGTGGCCGAGGACGGCCGAGACAAGCCGAAGCTGCCAAATGAGAAAGATGAGATGGAGCAGGCCCAGATTAAGGGCCCTGTGGACGTGCCCCAGAGAGAAGGCGCCAAAGAGAAAGAGGAGGAGGCGCAGCTGGACCGGCCCGGCCAAGGTGGGTGGCACGGCGGGAGGGCAGGGGAGGGGCCTGCCTAGGTTCTGGTCCTTGCCGCCTCCTTCCTTCTGTGACTCAGATGCACGTTCTCCCGCTGGCCCCCACCAGCTGGCTTGCAGCTGCCCCTTCTGTAGTTCTCTAGCAGTAGCCTCCGCGCTCAGGCAAAAGTCCGATCTGTGAGACGTGGCACTTGCCAGCCTGGGTCACGCCTTCGGGCACTGGGACTCCGTTCTTACTCCTGGGAAGGAGGGCCGGGCGGCCCTCTCCTGCCTGCTCCCCGACTCGTCTGTCGCCTTCCAGGTATGGCGGTACCTATGGGCGAGGCCCACCGCCACGAGCCCCCTGTCCCTCATGACAAGGTGGTGGTGGACGAAGGTCAAGACCAAGAAGAACCAGAGGAGAATGAACATCCGTCCAAGCATGTGGATGAAAAGGCTCTGGGGGGCAAGGCTCAGATGGCACCGCCTCTGCCAGATTCAGAAAGAGAGAGACCCAGACAGGACCAGGTCTTGGAGGCAGCAGGTGGTCTCCCTGAAGATCCCCAGAAGGTTCCAGAAGAAAATGGTCAGCCAGCCATCGAGCCCGTGAAGGAGGACCAGGGGCCAGGCGACAGGGGTCTGCAGCCAGGACCCCAGGCAGTGCCACCCGAGGGGCAGGACGCCCCGGCAGCTGGTGCAGGGGAGAGAGCAGGTGGGGTCCCGATGCCGGGCCGGGCCACAGGGGCCGTGGGCAAGCGGGTGGAGAAGAGTGAGCCCAGTGGGTGTCAGCTGTGCCTGTCTTGGCAAACTCCTCTCCCTGAGACGCTCCTCCGGTGGGGGGCCTGGGAGAGGCCGGGAGGAGCAGCGAGAATTGATTACCCCTCCTTCTGCCCCCACCCCCCTTCGGCTCCCAAGATCAGCACGTGACAGCGTGAGAGCCGCGGCCCCGCCGCAGCTGCTGGGGAAGCCGGGCGTCTGGTGACGCCACACGCCCGTGGTATCTGTCACACAGTCGCTGGCCAGACCGCTAAGTGTCAGGTGCCGCGCTGTTCCTGTGCGTCTGGGCACTCACAGGGGACGCACGGGGAGCGCTTGACAGGTACCACGTTGTTAAGTGCCGCCTCGGCGCTGGTTAGGACGGTTCCTGCGTGTTAATTGGTGCAGGTAGTTAGCCCTGGCTCGCTGCCACGAGCCCATGAGATTGTTAAATATGTTTTTATTACTTCCCTGGTAATCATCAGGTTGGGTATAAACTGCTGACAGAGGGAGGGGCGGTGAGGAGGCTAGTTTTAGGAAGGCTCTCCCCCCTCGTGTCCCTCCTCTCCCGCCCTCTGCCCCCGCCTCCCCCACCCAGAGTTCTTTGCGAACCTCTTGAATCTCCGTGTGTGCAGGTGGGAAGGCTCCCCTCCTGGTGAAGCCGGCCCCTGAGGCCGGGCCGCAGGTGGAGCCGCGAGAGCAGAGGAACGCGGAGGGCCGGGGCGGAGGCCACACCGGCAGCAAGCTGGAGGGTAAGGCCTTTGCTTCCTTGCTGCATCGTCCCCGGGGCCTGGAGCCATCTGCCCCTTCCTTCCAGACCCACAGCCATGACAGGGAAGGAGCCCCCCCCCCCCCCACCTCTGGGCTTCCCCCCCAGCAGCTTTCTCTGGGCAACCCCCCCTGCCCCGCTCTCGTCCTGTCACGTGGTTTTCCGTTCGCATCTCTGATGGTCTCAGGGCAGCCATGTCACTGTTCCTAACACGAGTGCTGTTCAGCACCACCAGGCTGGGGGGCTTCGTGCCCCCAGACGTTGCTGCTTTTCAGGAGGTGCCTTCCTGGCCGCCCAGGTGGGAGGGCAGGGGGCTGTTGCAGCCCACCTCAGCTTGGCCCCCGGGCGGACGTTCGTCCCATCTGCAGTGAAGACCCAGTACCTGTCCCGAAACCAGTGGTTAATCCTCCGTCAGACCTTCATGCCTGTGTTGGGGTGACCTCCCCTCGTGGCCGGAGTCTCCCTGTCGGGCCTCTGTAGTGTGGGTGGTGACAGCTTTCCCGGCTGGTGATCGCCTCCTCATTTCATCGGTGACCCAGGGGCCCCTGCACACCTGCCCCCCGTTAGTACTCCTCTCCACGCCACCCCCACCTGCCGGCATCGCTAGGTCTGTCCGCGGAGCGGCCCCGGGGTCTGGGCATGTGGATCTCGGTGGAGCAGCCCTGGGGGCCGCTGCGAGACGCACGGTCCCTGCAGCAGGTCCTGCAGGGACAGCCTGCCCGGAGCACTGGGCTTGGGGCTGCCTGCCGAGCCCGTGGGCAGCCAGAGGCCCGAGCAGGAGGCCCTGGAAGTTTTCTGGAATTCGGGGGCTGTTCCAGGGGCTTCATGTGTGGTGTCCCCTGCCTGGTCTGTCTCTCTGCGTTCACTGATTCCAGCGCTTGTACTCTGTTACCTAAACCTGTTTGACTCTTTCGATTTTTTTCTTTCTGGAAAGACAATTTTCACGGTTTCCTACTCTGCCTTTCTTCCGTACGCCTCTCAATGGGATGAGCAGCTGAAATCAAAAAGATGGTAGCAGGTACGGCTCCCATAGAGGGCCTGCTGGGGGGACCTGAGGGGCAAGAACAGAGCAGGTGCAGGCCTGCCGTCCACATGGCCTCGCCCGGAGCCACCCACATAGCCTGCCCCCGGGCTTGGCTCCAGCCCCGCGGTTAGGGGCCCCCTCGCCACAGACGCCCTGGTCCTGGAGGACGGTGCGTGCCGTCTACGCGCTGGCTGCTTCAGGCCTCCCCTGAGGATGGGGGCCTGCGTGGGACTTCCGCCATGTGCATGGCCTGGTATCAGTGTGCTCTGCATGTGTATTAACATCCCATCTGTGGCCCTGGCGGGCCGGGCTCTGCCTGTGGGCACGGCTTGTCACCACTCTGGTCCACATCTGCCCCCCGCATTGCTTCTGGCTGGACATGACGTGACCCCACTTCCCCTCCTCCTCCAGCATCGGTCTCGGGCTGGGACCCCGAGGGGCCGGGCAGGCTGGGGCCCGCTCCTCCAGCACCTGCCCTGGGGATGGGCAGTTTTGGCAGCACATGGGGCTCTCCTTGTACTGTTGACCGTAATGTGGCCGTGAGGCATGGGTACCCAGGGTGACAGTGAGGCTCATGGCCGAGGTGACTGGTCCGGAGACCTGGGGGGACAGCGCAGCATACTTCCCTCATACGGAGCCCGATCCGGTCCACAGGATGTGGCCTTTCTCAGGCAGGCGTCTTCGTGACCTTAGGGTGTCTGGATGAGAGCCGGGTGGGGAGCAGGGACTGCTGCATGGGGGCCTGTCCTCCGTGTGCCTCGTCCTCCTTGCTGTCTGGCTCAGCGTATTCTTCACAGGCCTCTGGGTGGGGAGGGGTGGGGAGGCCAAGCCCCTTCTGCTGTGGCAGGTCACGGGCCACCACTGGGGAGGACGGGCCAGCACGTCTGTGTGTGCCCAGCGTGTGGGCCTCGCTGGGTGTGTGCTGTTACCACTCCCAGGACAGCCTTCCTTCTGAACGTGCCCACCCAGCAGCCCTAACCGCTCACGTCATCTTTCATGGCTTCCTGTTTAAAGACCTGCGTGTTGTAGCAGTTCCGGAAGCCGTGGCTGCTCGCGGGACGTAGCTGACCCGGTGCTGAGGCGTTGGTAGTGAAAGGCGAGCTTCCCCGTGCTCCCACGGGTGGCCGCTGCCGGTTCCGGGCGCTCAGACTCGGGGCCTCTTCCTGGGCCCACGTCCTGGGGCGGGGGTGCGGAGAGAGCAGAGCGGGCCCCTGACGCGCACCTGCTGTGCTGCCCGCCCCCCCCACCTCCCCCCCGTGCCAGCTCGTGGCCAGTCTCCCGGGCGACGGTCAGGAGCAGGGTCAGGACCCTCGGGTGTCAGCAGCTGGCCTCTGCCTCCCCGAGGCCCCAGTTCTGGTTTCTGCTGGAGAGGGAGGCAGTTGTGTTTGTTCCTTAAATTCTCACCGTGGAGGAAGCTTTCTCGGAGCGCAGGGATTCTGTTTTTAGAGTAGTTTGTAGCTTACGCCACCCAGCCCAGGGCACCGCCGCCATTCCCACGGTGGCACAGACCTCCCCTGTGGCTTCTCTCAGCGTTTCTCCCAGCGGGCCACCGTCTGAGCAGCTGGGCCCCCGCTGGGCGTGTCTACACCACAGGCCCACGTGAGCCAGTGCGAGCGAAGGGTGTGCCGGGGAGGGCCCCGCAGGCGACCTGGTGCTGTCATCGCACGTCACACCGCCCTCCGCCCAGCCCAGCGCCTGTGTGGATGGGGCAGGCTCCGACTGTGTCTTCCCCACGCCAGCAGCCGGCCGGGCGGAGATGCTGGACCACGCGGTCCTGTTGGAGGTGATCAAAGAGCAGCAGGTGCAGCAGAAGCGGCTCCTGGACCAGCAGGAGAAGCTGCTCGCGGTGATTGAGGAGCAGCACAAGGAGATCCACCAGCAGAGGCAGGACAGCGAGGAGGGCAAGTCGGGGCCAGGCCGGGGAAGGGGGTCCTCACTGAATGCGTGCCCGCCCGCCGCGTCTCCTGGTGACCCCGTGTGGCTGGATCTGTGGCTCCGCAGCCTGGAGTCTTGCTGGGCAAAGTTTTTGATTAGTGTTCAGTTGCTGGCAAGCTCACGTTTCTAGTCCCTGTGTTGGTAGTTTCAGTTCATTTCTGTGGCTAAACTGGTGATTTACTTCATTTGCAGCTGAAGTGCAGCCAGAACCTGGGGTGGCCGCGCCCAGAGGTAAGGAGCAGGAGGCCCACGATGGGGGGACAGTGGAGCACCACCCCCAGCAGCCTTTGGAACCTGCACTCGGAGCTCCCCGGCGGCCCCCCGCTCCGCCCCAGGGACATGGCCAGCGTGCCGTCGGGGAGCCTGAGGGGGCTGTGGGCGGAGCTCCAGCCGGTCCTCCTGGCGCCTCCGACACGGAGCCCCGGGCAGCCCGGGCTGAGCCGAGGGAAGGCCGGCAGGGCGTGGTGCCCGCAGCTGGCGCTGGCCTGCCAGACCGAGTGCCTGTGCCCGGCCTTGCCGAGGGGCCCAGGAGCCCAGAGAAGCTCGTCGCCGGTGAACTCCCCGAGCAGGGTCAGGACGCTTTTGGCAGAAGCTCCCATGAAAGGAAGAAATCCCGAAAAGAGGTGGCCACCAGTGACAACGTTCAGGAGGCAGATGTGCCGGGGGCGAGGGAGGTTGGGGACCCTCACGTGAGGTCCCAGCCAGGGAGCCGAGACCGGGGACCTGCAGGCCTGTCCAGCAGGTCGGGAGGAGCAGCCCCTGGGGCCCAGGCGGAGATTCGTCAGTTGGAACACCAGGCCGTTTCTGCTGGGGGTCAGGGTGGGCAGCAGGGTGGTCACCTGGAGGCCAGAAAGGAGGCCATCGGCGAGGACCATGTGCCTGCTCTGGGGGAGGATGCTGCCGTCCAAGAGCTGGAACGGAGGCAGGACCCTGATCTGGGGCCCAAACCAGCCATCCCTGGGGCTCAGAAGCCAGACCACGCCAAACCCAACCGAGAACTCAAAGTCCAGGCCGGTTCTGACCTTAGGAGGAGACGGCGGGATGTGGCTCCTGGGGCAGGGGGAGACCCGGCCCCAAGGGACAGGGTCATCATCAGCTTTAACCCTCTCCCGGACGTGCAGGTCAATGACCTCCGCAGCGCGCTGGAGACCCAGCTCCACCAGGCCGCGGGGGGCGCGTTGCGGGTGGTCCACGGCCGCCAGGTGAAGCAGCTGGCCGGGGCCCCGGAGGAGCCCTGAGCAGCCCCTAATGGCCGCGGTCCTCCTGGTCAGCGGGTCTCAGCCAGCCACGCTGGGGCCATGTGGGCGCGGAGTTAGAGGTCACGCTGTGGCTGGGGGTCTGAAAGGCCTCTCACCATGGCCTCGCTGTCCAGATGGCCTGTGCCTTCTCCATCCCGCATCTTAAACTTATCCGAGTGACTGAGCTCACCAGGACTCAGACAACGCAGCGTCCGCTTGGGCCTCGGGAGTGGCCGGCCGGGGAGTGTGGCCCGATGTTGACGCGGGCTGCGGTGAGAGCCCACCGTGTGCCGGACTCCCGTTTGCTCTAAACGGTCGTCATGACTGATGTTCCAGGCATCATGGAGAACCGTAATGAACTCTGCCTCCACGCGGCTGCTCGGTGGATGCGGCTTGGTGTCTGCGGGGCCGGGACTGTGGGCGTCTCGGGGGTCAGAAAGCTGCCCGAGAGGCGCCCGCCTCTGCCCTTGTCACGGTCCTTGTGCTCTCTGCGCTCCCTCCGCTTCCCCAAACTATAAAGTTGTTTTACAGATAAGAAGTGTCACGATGTCTGGTCCACGCAGCTAGCGTGGCGCCGTGCTGGCCGTCGTGAAAGGCTATCTGCTGACCAGACCTCGCGGTGGTGTGGAAGCCCGACGCAGCGCGGCCCCAGAAAGACCCCGTGAGCAGCCGGGTGGCGTTTGCGGTGTTCTGTTTTCAGGGAGCAGGAGAGCCGATGGTCACCCCCTGGCCCCCGAGGCCGGTGGGCAGGTGTGACCATGCTGGTCTGTCCGTGTGTAAGGGTAGGGCCCGCGCCAGCGCTGCCTGGCGCCCCGAGGGTGGGTGTGCTCCGACCCTGCCGCCAGGGGCCCTGGGTGCGGCTGCTGGTGGGCTGCTGGCCAGAGGTGCCCGGGCACGTGAAGGACCACAGCTGCACGGCAGCTCCAGCTGCGGCTTCTGGCCTCTACTTCCCCTGAGCCTTTGAAATGACATTTGTTTATTGTAGTTCTGGCATTCTCGGACAGCCTGACGACTAGAAACGAGTAATACAAGGCCTAGCTGGTTCCTCTGAACCAGGGGCCGGCGCTGGGGCGACAGGAGTGGGCAGGGCACTGGTCCTGCAGCAGCAAGCCCCCGAGGAAGGGGGGTGGGTCCTGGGGTGCTTCCTGTGCTTAAGAACAATTCCAGATGAATCATGCTCAGTGGGAAAACGCCTTCTGGACGCTTCCCTAAGATCGGAATTCCATTTGTAAATAAATTTTTAGAGTGGGATTCTATTTCTGGACGCCATTTACCTGGATGTCAGGCCATCCTCCTGCCATCTGCAAGGTCACGTCCTTCTCACAGCGGGGGGACCCAGCCCCGGCTCCCCCAGACACTTGGGGTCCTTGCCCCAGTTCCCACTCTCCCGGCCTCCCCAGCCCGCAGCCCCTCAGGGAAGAACCTGAGACCGGTGTGTGGGGTCAGTTTGCCAGAACCACAGGGAGCTGGAGGGGCTGGGGGCCGTTTGCTTTCTGACCAGACGGCTGGCGCCAAGACGGCGGGTGCAGTGAGCGGTCCAGGTGGAGCAGCAGCAAGTATGGCCATCAGCGGCCGGCTGGCGTAGGATCTTGCCTGCGAGGGCGCCCGTTCCAGGGCAGGGCTGGTAAGCCCCGAAAGGGGCAGGTAGGAGTGAGGATGGAAACCCGGTGGAGCCAGGCCCTCAGGGTTCAGATGCTGCCTGAGGACTAAGATGACGGTACCGGGCACACGAGAGTTGTGTGCGATGATGCAGCTGCAGGAATGGCTGCATCTAGACACCCATTCGGTGGCATTTCTCTCAATAAACGTGGTTTTGAAGATGGTGTGAGTCTGGGGAAGCCAGAGAGCAAGGGCAAAGGCCAAGGAACTTGGAAGGGAGTTTGGTGCGTGGCCCGAGGGAGGGACACAGGAGGCTGGTGAAGAGTTGGGAGACATGGGGGCAGGACACCTGGTGGGATGGTTCTGGAAGGAGCCTGGAGTCATTGTACCCAGCAGAGACCTGCAAGCTCCCCGTAAGAGGCTGCCAAAGGTCAGAGTGGAGAGTGAGGGTCTGGAGAAGCCCACCCCGGAGGCTGGGTGAGGGAGAAGCGTGGTGAGTGCTCGGCTCCCAGGCCCGCCCCTTCCTGCTCCGGCCCTTGGTGTGTGTGGGATCAGGGTGCAGACCGCCCCCCATCAATGCGTGGGTGCTGGACCCAGAGCCCAAGGGCAGGGTGACTTCCATGTTTCTGGGAGGGGCTCCTGGAGCACAGTCCCCAGGCGTCCAGCAGGCGGCGCTCAGGACCTGTGGAATCCTTGGGCCCCGCGTGCTGGGTATGTGTATGTATGCGCGTGTGTGAAAAATGCTGCACCCCTGATTTCCTTCTCAGGTCAAGGGGCTGGGGTGGGGTACAAGGAAAGTCAGGAGGGATTGGGCTCTGACCCGAGGGGGCTGCAGAGGGGCAAGTGCCCCACGTGGAGTCACTGGCGCTGGCCTCCTAAGCCGGACCCTCCCTTGGCCGGCTGGCGCCTCTAAAAGGGCAGCCCCCTCCTTTTTTGCCTCCAAGTCCAGAAAAACCACCTGAGTTGGCTTCCCTACCCGTGGCTCTTTTGCTCAGGGCATGGTTGTACTTCTATTCTCTGGTACGTCCTATAAACGAGTAGCTACGTCTGCTGGCTCTGTTAGGTTCAGATAAAGTATTTTGAATACAAATTCCTTAAAAAGTGAAAGCCCTGAGCAGTGTGTTCCCACGGCCCAGGCACACTCTGCGTACAACAGAACAGAGCTCTTGTGTGGTCTGCCACGGTCTTTATTGTTGCTTCATTGTCTTACTCTAACCCGAATCCTCAGGCACACGATGCAGGAAAACCAACTCGCCCTCTGTCCACAACTCGCCCTGACGCGCCCGAAGTCCTTTCAGCTCTACAGGCTTTAGATGTTTTTGACGTCTGCCCTTTGGGGCCATCAGCACCGGATGTCTGGCTCTGCTCCCTGAGGCAGTAAACAGAAGTGCATTGCTGGCTCATCCATCCTAACGGCCTCCCCTTAGAGTCTTCTTGGCCTGGAAGATAAAGGATTTGGTGTGAACAGGTTAGTTAGACGAGACTGCAAAGCAAGAAAACCACCCCACGAAATGCTCTCTGACGGCAAATACCTTACAGAGAGCCCGGCCACGGATGCCGGCGGCATGGATGCGCAGCAGGGGGCTTGGCCGCTCGGAGCTGCCACAGGCCAGGGGGCTCTATCTGCTCTGTGGCCGTGCACCCCCAAAGCCAGGCCCCCCTGGACCAGGCACTGTGCAGACAAACCCCCAACAAACCGCGCTCCGTGCTCGCGAGGCAGTGGGAGCTTCTTACAGAGAACGCTGCGGCGAAACACTGAACACTTGCCCAGAGACAGGGCTCCTGGGACAGAGCTGGACGGGAGCCCATCGCCCTTTCTGCCTCCTCACGCGGCTCCCCGCAAGTGCTGTGGACTACAGTAGCATGGGAAAAACGCGCTCCTCCGTGTCTGTCCTCGTGGTGAGAAACACTCAGCAGCTGGTCCCCGGGCCCGCAGTTAAGTCATCTTCCGTGACCATAGCACGCGGAACAGCTCCTGAGTGTGGGGCCCACACCGTGGGGACATCTTTATGTGATCACAGCAAAGGCGAGTAAAAATGCCTGTAACAGAGTAACTCCTAACCACAAAAGGTGGTATGGAGAGACCTGTAACTGACACGTAAATTCTTCCAGGCAGTAATCCCTCGCCCTCTGGCTGTACAACAAGGAAGCTGCCAAGAGGACAGGTGCGGTCCTGGGTGAACAGCCCACGTCAGATCTAAGGCTGGTGACAAGGGCTGACTGGGGGTGGGGGCAGGACGAGGCCAGAGTGTCTCTGCTGTCACAATCACGAGGGAGGTAGAAGGAGACCTCTGAGCCCCGGCTTCGAAGGGAGCGTGTGCACTGTCCTCTCCCTGGAGAAACGGCTAAGCCACAGCTAACCCCGCTGCTCACGATGATCCCGGGAGGTCAGGAAATGGCCTCAGGCTCCCTGATTTCTGCCGAGCTCACCCAACTGCCGGGTCTGCGGTCTGGTTCTCTGCACCAGCAGCTCTGGGGGACACAGCTGATCACGGCCCAACCCAGACCCACCGGATCGGGCACCAGCCCAGGACCGCATCGCAGCAGCCCCCTGCTCACTCCGTTTGGAACTCCCATCTAGGTTTCTCGAGTCTGCATCTCCTCCAACCCTACTTGCTCCACACCCTTTATGAAAACGTGTAAACACAACACTGATTCTTCACTTCAGGGCTGGCGATCTTCACAACTTTCACCGGCTCAGCGTCTGATCCAACAAGAATCAGAAGATGCCTCAGAAACAGAAAGGACGTGCTGTTGAGCGGTCCGAGTCCAGAACCAAGAGCACCGGCCGGCCGTTCCCACCACGGCGCGCTCCGGGGCCGGTGAGGACTGACAAGCCCAGGACAGTGACCTCTTGCTCCCCCCCGCCCCTCGGGGCAGTCGGGGGTGCCCCTCGGGGCGTGCTGGCTGGCCCGGGGTTGTAGCCGCGCGCACAGCACACCCGTGGGTCCCTAATCACCCGGGAAGCTAAGAGGGCCGGTGCTTAGGCGCCCGGGGTTGTCTGGACACCACGGCCACGGCCCCCCACGGAGTTAGAGGCGCTCCCGCGCGCCCGCCGCCGCCGCCGCCCGCATCCTCGCGCTGGGGCTGAAGTTCCCCTCCGCGGACACACGCGGGCACACGAGCTCCGCGGCGGCTGGAGCCCCGCGTCGGAAGCAGCAGCAGGCGCCCGGCACCGAACGCACGGCAAGGGAAGGCAGGCCTGCGGCCCAGCACGGGTCCCGCTGTCCCTCCCCAGGCGGAGTGGCAAGGGAGAGGCCCCGGGCGGCGCCCACCTACCGCGGCGGCGAAGCAGCTCCGCAGGGCCTCGAACTCCTGCGCACAGAGGTCCTTCGTCAGGCGGCCGCCTGGGGCCGTGGACGCCTGCACGCACCTGCCGTAGGCCGCGGCCTGGGGGCGGGGGGAGACGGGCGAGGATCGCAGCGGCCCCCGCGCCCGCCGGTCACCCGGGGCAGACTCCGCCCCCGCCCCGCCCGCGCGGGCCCTTCCTGTCCCGTAGGCACTGCCCCGCCCGGCAGCTCCTCACCTCGGCCCCACAGGCCGCTAGGCGCTCGGGGAAGGCGCGGAGGCGACCTCGCACGCGCCCCCACACAGCTCCGTTCCCCGACATGAGCGGCTCCTCCTGGCACCCATGGGCGCCGCCATCTTAGGTCCGTCCTCTTCCGGCGCCCAGGGGCTCAATAGGCGCGCCTTCCGCCCGCAGCCTTCCCTGCACTTCTTGATTGGCCAAGCTTCAGCACCGCCCCCCCAGCACCCGCCCCTCTTCCGGGACGGCGCCCGGTCTCCCCGAGCTCTGCAAGTGGCTCGTGGATTTGTCTGTCTTGGATCTGGGACTTCGGATTGGCTCAGGCTCAAGTTGTTTGTCGGAGTCGGCGCCGGGGCCCGCCCCGCGCGAGCGATTGGCCATCTGGGCCAGGCGCGTGCGGTGATTGGAGG